GTTGTTTATTGTATCTCATCATCACTCGCGTAGAAATATGTTATGTAGTTCATTTACTCAATCAATTAATGCATTCTCCACGACAACATCATATTGAAGTTGCATATAGGGTACTTCGTTATATCAAGGGCACTCCAAGACAAGGTATCTTACTATCTTCACACGGGTCATTAACATTGCAAACATATTGTGATGCAGATTGGGCATGATGTCCAATCACAAAAAAGTCGACAACTAGTTATGTCATCTTTCTTGGATCTTCACTAATATCATGGCGTGCTAAGAAGCAAACAATAGTTTTTCGTTTCTTCATTGAGATAAAATATCATGCTATGCGCAAGATTACATGTGAAATTATATGTTTGCTCAGATTGTTACAAGACTTCAGGGTCAAACATGTAGGACTAGTTCCTTTATTTTGTGATAATCGTGTTGCCATTCTCATAACAGCTAACTTGGTGTTTCATGAGCATACGAAGCACATTAAGATAGATTATCATTTCATTTGGTAATACATTCAATCACAACTCCTTTCAACTTAATCCATTACCTATCAAAATAAACTATTTGATATTTTTATCAAAGCTCTTGGCAATGATCGATTCCATGAATTACTAAGCAAGTTAGGCATTTCCAATCTTCATGCTCCAACTTAAGGAGGAGTATTGGAGGAACAAATGGAGATGATTATAAAAGATTGCTATAACATAGGCAAAACATTTGGTATATATTTTCTTGCCTTGATCATGTCTCCTTTATTATTTGATTTATTCTTTGATCATGGCTGCCTTGATTATGCTTTGATTGTACGAAGAATACTTGTATATATAACAACATTATTATAATTAATCAAATCAGTCTAATTGAGAAAATTTTCAAAGACATAGCGATCAAGCTTCTTACAACATCAATGCACAACTGATTTGTCACTGTGAAGAGACATTCTATGGCTCAAGTTCTGAAGTATGCAACTATGCCATTATTAGGCTTAGAACTTTGAACATTATTGATGAATATCCAAGTTGCACTAATTCGAATGAGATAGAAAAGTTACTAAAAAGAAAAAAAAAGAAGATATAAATTGAGAGCATGTAACAATTACATCCTTACAAATGGACTTAGTTATCCTTTCCAAATTAGGTCCATAACTCAGACATTGTTTACAGAAGGGGTTAACCCCAGTATTCCTCTGAACCATAGAATTCGCCTACTACTAGATTCCCTTGGGTTGTTTTTTTTAAAGTTAAATGCCCTAAGTTCATACATCACACAATTTTAACATTTTAGCCTACAAGCTGCATTAATTTTTATAAAAGAAAGAAATGGGATAAAAGTAATTAAATTGGGAAAAAGAGGATAAAATAAAAATAAATGCAAAATGCAAAGCTGCACCAAAATAAATAATCTTGGATATTCACCCCTTACAAACATTTTAAGCACAAGAAATAATAGATGAAAATGAAATGAGATCATATTTGGTACTACGGTTACCACATTTAAATGCCGAGCAACTTAAACCAGCATTCCAAAGAAATTAAGAGAAATTAGGACTTCAAAAATATGTTGCTCTATTAGTTGGATATTAAGCTTTGCATGGCTTTTTGTGTCATCAAAAGATGAATGGAACATGACAGGAAAAAGAAAGAAGTAAAAATAAGATAAATCTAAGAAATAAAACAATGTAAGATATATAACTAAACTAAGCAAATAGAGATTAAAGAAACCGGACAAAGGAATAACAACTAATTTTGAATTACTTAGCAATTCACTTCATGGGTATTATCATTATAATGCAGGATTAGGACAGGCCTTCAAAAAATCATATTCTCTTAAACCAAAGGATCTACTCTTGGCATCTACAAACATTTTCTTATGCTATGATTTACCATTTCACTAAAATGGCATCTTCTACCCTACGATGTTTGTTGTAAAGAAAATTCAAAATTACATGTATTCTTCAGACATACGCCTCCAGTCCACCTAAATTTCGCTTGACTCCTCATTTTACGCCGTAGCAGCAGGAGCTCTTGATTGCACCCAGGACACTAAATCCTCTCTTGTTGCCACAAAACAACCGGCCTTCTCTTCACTTTGTCTAAATGGGGCAGAAAGTTTCTCCACATGAGAAGCGAAGGAATTGGCCAGTCCTTGCGAGAATTTATGAGTTCCAGACCCTGTTTTTGCCAAAAATACCTCAGGCAATGCCTCTTCTCGCTGGATTATGTTGGCCAAAGTTGCAATCCATTCTTCAAGTGCAGTTTTAGCTGCACCAACAGACAAAGACCTGACATCTAAACTCCACTCATTAACAGTTTTGTTGTGTAGACCTGGATACAACCCATACAGAGTTCCTAAGTAGAGCAGCTCATGTGCTCTTGCGTGCTGGACCTTACTACGACATATATCTATCAAGCAATTACAAAAGGGTCTTCTAGCATCGACTTCAGTGTCGCTAATAATTGCTTTGAATTGTTCTTTAACAGCCTCAAAGCTAGTTTCAGGTTCTTCAATTGACTCCACAAAGGAAACCAACTTTGGATTAGCTTGCTCCAAACAAGCCATAACCTTATCTGCATCCTTATTTCCTTCACACAAGGACACAACAGAGAGTAAGCACCCGCAGAGCCTATCATCTGGTTTAACCCCTCCTTTTATTGCCATATTAAACACCCTAACCAAATCATCTATTCTCCTGGACTTCCCCAAGCACTGGACTAAACATGTACAACCCATTACATTGAGTTCAACTCCCACGTCAGACATTTCTTCGAATAACTCCATTGCCTTATCAACCTTTCTACCACTCCCATATATGTTCAGCATGGCCGTATAGCTCCAGCTATCCGCCCTACAATGCTTTGATTGCTTCATGTCCTGGAACAATTTCTCAGCTTCCTCCTCCAAACCAATATCAGCACACATATTCAACAATGTGTTGTACAAAATAAAATCCATTGGCCACTTTCTAGACCTCATTTCCTCCCACAATTCCAGTGCATCTTTAGCCCATCTTGCCTTGCCATAAATCTTGACGAGCGCTGTTAAAGTTTTCTCATCCGGTGTAAGACCCGAATCAAGCATTTCCTGGAATAGGCTCCTGGCCAAACCAGGTTTGCCAGCCTTGCCCATTGCCTCTAACAGCGTATTGTACACAACCAAATTAGGCTGCACACCTAAAGATTTCATTTCTTGCAAAACATACCTAATACCATCATAATCCCCTGCCTCACCGTACATTTTGCCCAGCACAGAAAACGTAATAGGATCAGGCTTCCACCCAGTAGCCACCCCTCTCTCATACAAACTTAGGACCTCCTCAACTCTACCTAGTCTAGCATAAACATCTAAAATAGCAGAATAAGTAACTTCATCAGGCATCAAACCAGTTGTATACATTCTTTCAAACCACTCAACAGCTTTATCAAAAAGATTACATCTTTTTGCACAAGTGATAATGGTAGAATAAGTAATATTGTCAAGCTCAATCCCATTACTTACCATTTCCAGTGCAAGCTCCTCAATAAGCTGAAACTGTCTCCCAAACCTCAAAGCCTTCATTGTAACATTATAAAATATGGTTTCCATCGGAAACAAATTCTGGGTCTTGACCCATTTGAAGAATAAGTGTGTATTTTGCCAGGTTCTCAAGGAGTTGAGGATGAGGAGTGCATTTTCTCTGGTGGGTGGATGAGGAATCTCGTCAAGAGCGTCGAAGAAAGCAGCTTCAGTGGAGTCACAACTGTTGAGCTTCTGAGCAAACAGCTTTAATTCCTTGAGCTGTGGGTTATAAGAATAAGGAGAGCGCTTTTGCCTCTGCAATGAAAGCACGGACCTTTTAGGCTTGGTGGGATTGACCCAAGTGGATTTCGGCTTGGATAAGAGATAATCTGTGGGAACAGTGTTTGTAGGAGGGAGTTTGGTTTTGGAGAGAGGCCTGAGCTGCTCAGACAAAGATGGTTTTGTAGTGCTTGGTGTTTCTGGTTTGGAGGAACAAGAAATGGTGAATTTTCTGATTTGTTTTTGCTTCAGTGGTTTGGTGAAGAAAATGGGTCTCCTTGTGTCTGATTGTTGCTTTGTTAGACAGGCGTCTATTGGTGTGGGCAGAGAAGAAGAAGCCATGGGAGAGACAGAGAGGAAAGCCAAAGTTTTGGGTTGAGGAAATTCTCGCTACTGGGAACGTTCTCTTTCTGAGATATTTTTAGTCATCTTATCTGGAAGACGCAAGGGGTAAAACGGTGGAAAAAAAAGAATATATAACTTATAGAACATAAGTATAAAATAAAACAGAGCAATTTACTTCTTCCTTCACTAATTATTCTTTCACTATTTAAAAAATTATAATATTGTTATTTAATTAATAAAATATAGAAATTTAAAAAGTTGCTTTTCTGAAAAAAGAGAAAAAAAAATTGGGGGCAGAACTCGTTTTTACGTCACCTTACTTTTTGTCAATCCAAGAAGTCGCCTCTCTGATGACCAGGTAAACAGAGCTTCAGGCTTCAGCCTTCCTAACGTCTATAGTCTGGAACCGCAAACTCTATAGCACCTATCACCAATGGCTGCTTCAGTATTTACTCATGCGCTCTCAGTCCCATCAATTCCCATTAAAGCTAAACCGAAACCAATCAGAACTGCAACTGGAGTGTCAGCTCAGGCCCTCATAACCTCCCCACAAGCTTCTTTCTCCGATCCTTTTGTTCTTCAATTAGCAGAATCCCTCGAGGATTCTCTATCATCTTCTCCGTCTCCTTCTGAAGCTTCTCCTCTGGCCTTGCCGCTCCAAAGGATCAGGGACAATGCCGCACAAAAACTTCTCTCAACCCCCTGGCCATCTCGCAAAGACGAACCCTTTCGCTTCACTGACATTTCATTCATCAAACAATCTCAAATTCTCCCTGTATCTTGCCCGCCACAGTTTTCAACTTCACTGGATGATCTAAACGATACGCAGTCTCTAACTGTCACGATTGTCGATGGTTTTATCGAGAATTCCGCGTCTAACTTGAAAGAAGTGCCAGATGGGGTTTATGTAGGAAGTTTGTCGAGTGCATCTGACTATATTGTGAAAAAAGTATCCGAGTTAATGGGTGAGTTTCAATGGGGTGATCTGTTTTGGTCAATTAATGGGATGGGCGCACCGGATTGTACCGTCGTTTATGTTCCGGTAGGGTGTAAGCTGGAGAATCCGATACATTTTAGGTATTTCTCTATCGAGGGAGACGATGTGGGCTCGAACAAATTGCCACTATCAAATCCAAGAGTGTTTGTGTTGGTGGAGAAGGAAGGGGCTATTGGTATCATTGAGGAATTTGTTGGCAAAGAAACTAATCCATCTCACTGGACGAATTCGATTTTGGAAGTGGTGATCCGAGAAGGAGGAAAAGTTAATCATTCTTACTTGCAGACTCAGTCATTGAATGCCGCCCATACTAAGTGGACTTCGGTCCAGCAGGTAATTTCGATTTTTCCTTTCATTCTGTTTTTGATTTCTTATGTAGAAGATTTTGTTGTTCTTTCATGATCATAACAAATCAGAGGAATAATTAGGAACACGAATTCTTTGGACTTTTCTATATGCCTCCTCGTTTGGAGAAGAAGCCTATTTATATATAGGTAAATGCAATAGTTGCAAACTGGGCCAAAAAAATAGAGATTACATGATGATTGTGTTTCAGGTGTTATTTGAACAATATTGTGTGCAAAATCTTAAAAATTCCTCTTGCTTATGGAAGCACAAGGGAGGTTATGAATACTAGCTTGCTGCTGCATCACACAAACTTTTGTTCTTCCCCGATTCCTCTATTAACTATTATATCATTTACTGAGAGTACTGATTATGTGGAACCCAATTGAGTGACTTCTTATATATTATTTGTGGCCCTGGAGTAAGACTGCAACTCAAGATTTGATTTCATAAATCATGATGTTGCTAGCTCTTGATGTTTTTCACCAGGAACAAAATTTTAAATATAAAGGGATGAATGTAGGAGTTGAAGTCAAGTCATCAGTTCTATAAAGGAAATGTCATGCCATTTTTATGGTGGGAATGAAGTTCTTTTTGAAAAGGAAGAAGAATGATTTATAAGGGTTCTATTTTGATCAAACCTGAGCAGTAATTTAGATGGGAAGGTGCATTTTCATTATTGAGAGGGTATTGGGATTTCTTCACAACAAAGAAGTAATATCACAAAACGGTGATCAACCGTTTTTTTGTGTTGAGAATAACTGGAAAATTGGTTATCAACTAATTATTATGTTTGTGTATGCTCGACTATGGAAAGGGGGAATGGAGGTGCAGGTTGAGACAACGTGTGAGGCATTTTGTAGATGATATTAAGTTAGCGAGCTAAAATAAGAGGTAGTCATTAGTTGAGATTTTCACAAACTGTACTATGGGTTAGGAACTTAATATATTTAAAACTTGAGAGAAATGTGAAAAATGGAGGGAAATTTTACTAGGAAGAGATTAGAGAGATAATTAAAAAACTGGAAATTGATGAACAAGAACTCCTCAAAGATATTTATTTTCCACATCATTGGACATTGGTCAGTCATCCATGTGGACGTAGCGGGATGAAACTGAATATTTTGCATACATCTGAAGCCCAATTGCGTTATACCTGTAAAATGTCAAGTCCAAGTGCTGCTGTTCTAGAAATTTCGGGCATGAAAAATTGAGCCTAAAAAATTTTGAAGTTCTACCAGTAAGTAACCTGTATCCTTGTATGTGCTTCATCAATTATATTCCTATCCAGTAAGTTTTCTTCTTAATCTATAGTCTCATCATCAAAAATTCCCATAAGATTTAAGATCAAATTAGCATCGAGTGAGTCTGCACCAGATTAGCATATATCTGATACCACTTATAGTAATCTAAGCACGAGCACAAGCAATTCAACAGTTTCAGGCGTAAGTCATTGGTCTTTAAAAGCCAAAGATTAAAATTTTAGTTTGGTCCGGTTCCATCCAATTCCAGGTTGATTAACACCCTTGTCATTGTATACCTCAAAGCAATTCATAACGCTAATCTCCTTGAAACGGGTCATGAAGTAGATAAAATGAAGTACCTCTTTCAAAGGCCTATCACCAAAACATGTGTCATCCCAAAACTTAATCCGTCTGCCATTGCCTCCCTTGAAATGAATATGACTGAAAAACTCCATCTAGTTTTTACTAATCCACCTCCATAGACTAGAACCTAAACCACCCTTAACAAGCCCAAAGCACCAATTATCAAAAAAAAAAATTGAAATAAAAAGTTTGAAATGTATTAATTACATGTATTAAGGGGGTATAAAATTCATGTGCAAAAGAATTTATGAATCTGTTATTATGTTAATAAGTTCTCCTAAATTCACCATTGAATACAATTTTATCTCATAATCATACCAAATGTCTGGAACCATCTCTCTTTAGTTCAATCTAAGCTATCCTCCACCCCTCAAAAGCTCCTCTGTTCCTTTCTTTCCAAAGCACCCAAATAATTGTCAAATGATTAAGCCACAATGTTATGATTCTAGGACCAAAATCTTGTCACTGGGCGGTTATTTGGAATTTGTGGTTCTAGATTCTGCTTCTTTTCCTTGTTATAATTCCTTAAGTGGCCTATTTTATGAAAATAGATTACACTTTTTTAAAAGGAGTTGCTAACTTGGACCTCGTTAGAGAAATCTCTAATCTCATAATTTAAAATAATATTATAATTTATTTTTATTAATAGCAAATATACCCTTTTATATAAAGGTTACAATTTTTATTTAGAAATCTTAATTTAATTAGAAAAGTAAATTTAATTAGGAATACTTTCATAAAATATTGGAAATCCTATATTATTTAGGAATTCAATACTAATAGGAAATTACATATTATTTAGAAATTTAATAATAATTAGAATTCTAACTATTTAGAAATTTAATACTAATTAGAATTCCATATTTAATTGAATTTCATCCTCCTATTTAGTTGTTGTCTAGTCTTCCATATTTATACCCTAGAAATGTATCCATAACATTACTCCCCTCCTAATCATCAAGTTTGTCCTTAAATTTGAAACGTAGATATAACTGACTCGTTGGTTTTTTTTCTTATTGTACAGGATCGCATTCAATCTCGAGTCAAAATAGTTTTTTACATTAGAGACCCAAAATAAATGACTCATCGTAGTTATAACATAGCCCCTTCAGCCTCCTTTTTACTATCTCTGTCCTTGTTAACTTTTTTATAGATGGAGATGAAGCGTTATCATATTATGTCATGACGTTACTGCCATATAGAACTGATATTTTCTTAACTGAATTGTTAGGTTTGGTTATGGACTGAGAATAGTCATTATAATTGTATTTGGTCATAATCTACAACTAGTGTTTCCTTTTAAAAGCTCTTACTATATTCATTACATGCACAAGAATGTTGGGTGATTGCATCTCGACCTCTCAGTGGAGATAATCAATCAGTTCTGTTGTGAACAATTACATGTTGATCAATTCGAACGAACTTGTTTGGTTTTGCCAGTTTTTCTTGGAACTGCCTTTGGTAGTTCTCAACCGATCCTATCTATTTCAAGTTTACCAATTTTCCCAACTGCTTACTTGTGACTGACGACCAAATATCAAAAAATGATAGTTTTTGAATTCAGTCTAGTTAAGTGTAGGTTGTTCATATTCTAACTGATGGTACCACAACTGCGCCTCTCCAAGAATATGGAAGCAGCTAATCCCACCTTATCTCATTTCAGCGTGTGTTAGTTGGTAAAAAATTTCTTACACTGATGCAAGCATATTAGGAGATCTTCAAAGCCATCGAACGTTGGAAACCTAACTTGGTGTAGCGAGGAACAACTCCGTTACCTGCAGGGTTGTTTGCATTCCGCGACTAACTTCCGATGTGAAGCATTTGAGGTGGTTGTCCTCGGGAGTGATTGTTGTTTGCAGTCCCTTCTTATTCTGTTTATTTGTCACGATTAAAATTGGTTAGTATCTCTTTGAATTGTGAGGATAACTCCTGTAATTGCTGTTCAATCACCTTTCGATTTCTACGGTCTGTACCTCATATGCGGTTAGGGTTTCTTGGAGCATCAATCACAAATCTTCTTTAATTGCAGAGTCACCCATTGTGTTAGGTTATGATACCAATTTGTTATGATTTCGGGATCAGGATCTTGTCACTGGGCAGTTCTTTAGAATTTTTGGTTCCAAGATCTGTTTCCTCGCCTTATCGCAATTCTTTGAAGGAGGTATTTTATAACAATATATTACAACTCATCAAAGGGAGTTGTTACCTTGGACCTTGTTAAAGAGAGCTCTAATATCGTAATTTAAAATAATATTGTGACTTATTTTTATTAATAATAAATATATTCCTTTATATAAATATTACAATTCTTATTTACTAATCTTAATTTAATTGAAAATTTAAATTTAATTATAAATACTCTACTAAAATATTAAAAATTTTATATTATTTAGGAATTCAATACTGATAAGAAATTATATATTATTTAGGAATATAATACTAATTAAAATTACAATTATTTAGAAATTTAATATTAATTAGAATTTCATATTTAATTGAACTTCATTCTCCTATTTAGTCGTTGTCTTGTCTTCCATATTTATGCCTTACAAATGCATCCATAACACATAGCTACTTCTTTCTAGTCATAATTTCATTCCGCGTCTAAATCTCCTCCTTGACAGTGCCTACCATTGCTCAATTGTAAGCCAATATCCTGAAAGTCGTAGACCATAAGCTGTGGGCTAAGGGACATTTGAGAAGTATGTGATCACATGTTTCTTTAACTTTTTTTTTTTTAAATAAAAAGTGTTAAGTATGTATTAATAGGGTACCATGAAAACGGGGGTATCATCTATGTACAAAATCATTTACAATGATGTTAGAGCATCAATGATATTTTCAAAATTCACTCACTATTTATGTCATGACCTAGTAAAATCAACCCAAAAGAATGTGTCTACTCATTTTTAATTCTATTATGCTACTCTCAACAGTATCAAAGGCTCTACTATTCCTCTATTTCCAAATGATTCAGAAAACAGTTGAAGGGATTATGTTAGTTATATTTCTTTTTACAAATAAACCATTCCCACCCCCCTCAGCCGAGCCTTGCAATAACCCAATTAATCCCAAAAAGTTCATAAATCAAACACCATGAGCTGTATTAATGGTCAATAGCACCAATATGTCAACTCTTTTACATCAATAGCACCAATTAACTGTTTTCCGGGTCTTCAACTCTTTTACATAAATAGCACCAACTTGTCATGATCTTCCCTCTTTTCATTAGTTTATCAATGGTCAATATGCATCTACAAATTGTTTCCCATACGAAAAAAGCCATCCTTGGAGCTGCATTTACTTTTCATATTTGTTTGAATGGCAAATTTCCTTTGGTAGGCTCTTTCTTGGATAAATCCTTGTAGAACATCCCCACAATAAAAGTTTCAGTAGTACTAATGGACCATACAGGTTGATCAGTAAAATCAAAGTCAAAACACTTAACAG